ATGGGTAAGGTCCCTAGGCCTGGCAGGTGATCAGGGCCAATTGGGGCCTTCTGGCTGCAGGCCGGGACCTTCCTTCGTTCTGCACCACCCCCTGGTGGTCAGCGCACGTCATAGCAAGTGATCGAACTCCTGGTCTCCCAGTCAAACTCCCAAAGGGACACTGCATATTAGCCTTTTATATATATAGATATGATTATTCCTGCCTTTCCTTTCACCCTATTCTCTTCCATACACTAAAGTGAGCCTTGCATTTCCTCACCTCTCTCCCTTTTCACTCCCTCCCTTGCTCTCTTCCTTCCTTGCTCTTTTCATCCATTTGTTTAACGAATGTTTATTGGGCACTTACTATGTGCAAAGCTCTGTATTGGGTTCTGGGGAAAAAAGGTTAGCAAAAACCCTGGTCCTCAAATTTCTTGGAGTATGTAGGGGAAGATAGATCAATTAATCATACAAATAAATATAAAATTATAATTTTGGTAAAGTTACAAAGGAAAACAATACAATGCTAGGAGACTATGTAACTTGACCATGGGATTCACATCTAGTTGGACTCTAAATTCCCTGCTCCTCCTACCAACCATCCTTTGCCTCCTGCAAAGTAGCCAACATCCCATCCTAAAGATAACATTGCTAATCCAGCTTCTGGAATTTCCTTTTGTCCTTTGAAACCATCAGGGTAGGTCACTTATACTTGCATCAAAGTTGTCATTGCTGGGGTATAGAACATGATGTCAGGCTACAGATTTAGAAAGCCCAGGTTCAAATGCTCACTTTGTCACCTGCTGTCTCTGTGACATTGGGCAAGCCACCAGACCTTTCTGAGCCTCAACTTCCTCAACTGTAAAATGGGACTAATAGTTCATGCCAAGCAGGTAGGACATAATGCAATGCAATAATTGGTTGTTATCATTAGTGCTTAAAACTGAGAATGCTATTTTTTTTCTAAATCTGGAGTCTTAAACCCAGGGAAATTGAGTAGTTTGTCCAGAGTTAGAACCACACCTGAAGTCTAAATTAGAATTTTCTACCTTATGTTCATGAACTCTTTCTCAAGATAAGAAATGTGTTGTAGATTTGAAGGCAGAAAAGCAATGGAAATATACATCCACAAAAGAAAAAGACAGAACCCTTGGAGTTTGTGTTTATGGAGCCATTATTTCCTGTAAAACCCTTCTGAGTAAGAAGCTTCCAGCTAAAGCACTTCCAGTGGCAGCAGTGAAAGGCGTGGTGTTGAGACTCGGAAACACCCTATGATTCTGGAAAGCTAGTCAGGGTTTTTTGTTCCTGGAAAAATGACGTTAGATTGTTTGTCCATTTACATCCAGTAAGACTATTATCTACTGAGTGCAATGCATCACAACCCTCTGGAGATATTTGGGCATCCGTTCTATGAAATTCGTGGCTCCTGGCTAATACTTCCTATCTTTTTTTTGACACCTCAGCTTTATCCGGATGAGCAAATTGTTGCCAATAGATGTGCATTATTCTGATCAGTTCTTAGGAAGGAGGCTATGGGAGTACAAGGGACGTGTCCCACTGAATGGTCCAGGGAGCCCTACACCCTTCAAGTTGGAGGCTTGGAGACACCTTGATGTGAGGGATAGTGTTGGACTAGTTGTAATCCTGCTCTGCCACTCACTAGCCCTTCTTTACTGGAGGAGTGATAAGTATTGCAGAAATACATGTATGCAAACGTTGTTATCTGAAGCTTGAAGGCAGTCCCTGGAGAAAACCTTAGAAAGGTGTCATTTTAGGAAACAACATAAAAGCACTTTAAGAAAGGGAAACAGAAATGAATAACGAATAATGAGTGTGCAGGAAGCCGGGGATGGCTGTCCTCAGGGAGTTCCTTGCTGAATCTTGATTTCTGATATGTGGTTCTCAGACTCCTTAGTAAGAAGTGAGTCTCTCATCCAGGTGTTTCAGGAGTTGGAAATCGGCAGCAAGCCCTGGAATTTCTCAGTGCACTTGACCAGCTGGGTCATTCTGAGGGCACTCAGGACAGATCCAGGAGCCCAAAGGTCTGGGGTCAGATATGCTGATAGGAGGTCCATGCGGCTCCCATTTCCCCTTGTCTACGGGAGAGACCACACTGCATAGAGCCTGGCAGCTCTAGGCATCAAGGCAATTCTCTGCTGTGCAAGTTTGGGAATGACAACTCCAGAATGTTCTGGCTTTTATGAAACTCATTTGTTTTCACTAAAGAATGGGCAGAGAGCCCGGCTGGTGTGGTTCAGTTGGTTGAGCATTGTCCCATGGACTACGAGGTCATGGTTCCATTCCCAGTCAGAGCACCTGCCTGGTTTTGGACTCAATATCCAGTAGGGGGCATGCAGGAGGTAGCCGATCATTGTTTCTTTCTCATCATTGTTTCTATATCACTCTCCTGCTCCCTTCTTCTCTCTGAAATAGATTTTTTTAAAAAAATGGGCAGAGAGCTCATGCAGCTGCGTTAGGTAGGAGGGTAGACCAGCTGCAATAAAGGGAAATGTGCTGCCAGCCTTTGGTGTGCACAGCACGGCCTGAGGAAGCAGCAGGGACCCAAGGGAGAGAGGAACCATTCTTGGCCTTCAAGCTGTTCCTGTACAATTTGAAATGTGTAGACAAGGATTCAAATGTGTGAACTGTGTATTGAAGGATTGATTATTTAATAATCCCAACTTCCTAAAACCCAGAAAAAATTAAAATTAAACACAAAAGTCTCTCCACAGTCGAAAAGGATGTCACAAAGACCATCTGCTTTTCTCCCGGCTCTGCTGCTTTGGTCTTGCCTAGGGTACACTTAATCTTACTTCATACAAAAAAAAAAAATCTGCCTTCGGCCTCCATCACAACTACTCCCAATGGCCATCGATGCCTTCCTTGTAAAAATAATGTTCTTTTATGAATTGATTGTCTGGGCAGCAGTTTTAAAATGTTGGCTTCTTTTTCCCTCTCCTCTGACTTTTGAAAAATGTATTGAGGTGAAATTCACATAAAAAAATTAACCATTTTAAAGTGAACGATTCAGTGGCATTTAGAATGTTCACAGTGCTGTGCAACCACCACCTCCATCTAGTCCCCAAACACCTGCCTTACTCCAAAGTGAACCCCCAGGCTAATGGAGCACTTTCTTCTCATCCTCCCTGGCCCTGGCCCCTGACCACCACACATCTGCAGTCTGTGTGTATGGTGTTATCTATTCTGTATATTTCCTATCAATGGAATCATATAATATGTGGTCTTTTGTGAGTGGCTTCTTGAACTTAGCATAAGGTTTCTTCAGTTCCATCCACATTGTGATGTATTATCAGTACTTGAATCCATTTTATGGTTAAGTAATACTCCATTGTGTAGATATTCCACAGTTTGTTATCCATTCATCAGTTGATGAACATTTGGGTTGTTTCCATGTCAGGACTATCATGAATAATGCTACTAGGAATAGAACATTTGTGTGTTCCCTGACTTTTGCCAGCTCAGTTTCTCATCTCAATAATGCAAATGATAATGATACCTTCCTCATAGGACTGTTAGAATTAAGTGAGGATTAAACACTTAGAATAGTGCCTGGAACATGGACAAAGTTCAATAAATTCTTGTTATTTTATTTTTTTTATTATTTTTTAAATACATAACTCAGGAGTTAGTTCCATCAAAGCAGATGACTTTACATATCTCATTCTCAAGGTCATCATTGCATCACTTCAATAATTAGTGTAAGAAGTAGTGATCCTGAATCATAAGTGAAAGGTTAACAGTGAAACTATGGTTGGTATTTTTTGGGTAAGAAGGCAAGGATAGGTAAGATACCATATTGACCAACTTCCATCAGACCTTAGCATTAGGTATGGTGAATAAGCACGACCTCACAAGGACCTGCAACAGAATACCTTTTTTAAAGTAATGAGCCATGAGCTTGCAGAAGACAAGTCAGATAATAAGGGCCTTTGAGTGCTATTTTTCAAGCAGAATTGTGTCATGAAAATCACAAATGAAGACGAGCACGCTGATACTTCCGGGCCAGTAGATTTGAGCGGAAGCTGGGAGATCAGAGAGGATACTTATACAGGGGTTGAGGTATTATCTTTTTTTTTTTTTAATCCTCACCTGAGGATATTTTTTCCCATTGATTTTCAGACAGAGTGAAAGGAAGAGAGGAAAGAAGGGGGAAGGGGGGAGGAAGGGAGGGAAATAGGGAGGGAAGGAGGATCATTGTGGAGACACAGTGATTGGTTGGTTCTTGCACATCCCCCATTGGGCTGGGGATCAAACCTGCAACTGAGGTACGTGAACTTGACCAGGTATCAAACCCAAGACTCTTTGGTCCGTAGGCCAATGCTTTAACCACTGAGCACACTGGCCAGGGCTGTGCTATTATCCTTGAGAGGTGACTGGGCTTATAAAGAAGAAGCAATGTATCAGGGAGACACCTGTATGAAAAATTGATAGTAAATGGGAAGAGATGGACAAGCGAGGGGAAGATTCAGAACAAATGCTGTGAGCCATGCTGCAAGGAAGGGTGGTGATGCCATGAAAGGTGTTTGGACAGTTGAAAGGGAGCTGCTCTGAGCTAGGCCACGAGGGACTTCCTCAAGATATGGACATCCAGTGGTCATGGCACTCACGTCTAAGTTCTTACAGGTTTTACTGTCTATTTAGGAATGAAAGGAGATAAACTCTTGGCTGCATTCTCCACATCCATTTTCTGCCTTTTCCTTGCTGTCATCAATAGGATGGATTGAGGTACACTAGAGTAACAATTCCAAAGTGTCAGTGATGTGACAACAGACATTCATTTCAGCTCGGCTGGGTCTGGACTCCTGCATCTTCATCATTCTCACCCTGGGACCCAGGCAGGCAGAGCCACCTATGGTGGAAATGCTGTCTAAGATGAAAGAACTACTAAGTGGAAGAGGGGTATTTAAACCTAGTTCTTTGAATTCTTTCAAAAGTCAGTCATACCTATTATGGTACCAGTTGAGTTGACATCATACATATTTTTCAGGATTTTTAAAAAGTCTTCACAATAGTTATTTTAATGGATTCACAATAATCTGTTGACAATTATGAAGCAGCAATTAGGGAAACATACCATTTAAGTTTGCATTTACTCAAAAATCACAACTGCCTGAAAAAAACACTAGAAGGAAACATTAAATAATAATAATAATGTAAGCTAGGGCTGTTGTCTGTAGGTAGGATTATAGGCAATTTTATTCCCTTTCTTTAACTATTACCTTAAAATTTTTTTTCAATTACAGTTGACATTCAATACTATATTTATTTCAGGTATACAGAATAGTGGGTAGACATTTACTTCTCTTGCCTTTGTTATAAAGTAGTATTTGCAAGAAATAATGATGTAGGGCAAACAGCGTTTCTCTTGTCCTCCATTGCACAGTGCCAGCAAGTCTCACCCTCTCCGAGGAAAAACATGCACTCTAGGTATTGGTACGCCTTATTCCAAGTACACATTCTTCACAGAAAAGTTTATTTTTGGTTCCAGGAATTCAGTTTATTATATTAACAGTCTACCAGTGCCAGAGCAAGACCGTTACAGTTTCTTCCCTGAAGTGCTAATTTTATCTGAGTGTGTTATTCCACGTTGCTGTGGATCGATAGGGAATCTTGAGTAAATAATCGGTGAACAGGGCCCCTGATGTGGTGAAAGCCACGTGATACAAGTCCTAACAACAGTGGAGAAATGAAGAGGTTAGCACTGAGGTGAAAAAGCCACTTCCAGAAAAGGTAAAAATATATGCCCATAAAGGATTCCTTGTTTTCATTTCTATAAACAGGGAGAGATCTATGAGAATTGGATTATGGCAAGGTAGAAACAGCTAAACTAAGACCTCCTCTGAAGCTTCTTTTGATATGATTTGGTAGAGTTGATGTGGGCGTTCTAAGGAAGAGGGAAATCTATTCAAGGGTAAAATAAAAATCAGTGAGCTTATGACCCTAGCAAAATGGTAACTAAGGAAACAGCATCTTTCTGATGTCAAGTTGCTACAAGATCATCTGTATGACCTGAATAATTAAGCAGTCTCTGGCTTCGGGGCCTGTGATGGCTGCCCCCACCCTCCACCCTACCCCCACTACCATCACTAAAGACCACTTCTTCGGGATTCTCTCTACTTATTAAACAAACATTTGAAGGCCTACTAGCTGCTACCAGGGGTCCTCAAACTATGGCCTGCGGGCCACATGCAAATACAAATATTGTATTTGTTCCCGTTTTGGTTTTTTACTTCAAAATAAGATATGTGCAGTGTGCATAGGAATTTGTTCATAGTTTTTTTTTAGACTATAGTCCGGCCCTCCAACGGTCTGAGGGACAGTGAACTGGCCCCCTGTTTAAAAGTTTGAGGACCCCTGTGCTAGGCATTGAGTCAGTCCTTGGGAGATTACCAACTGGTTTATAGGCCTTCCTATTGTAGAACCTGTAATCTCGTTAGAAAGAAATTAATCAAAATCACAAAAATAAATATAATTGCAACTGTCATAGGTGCTACCAACGCGCGCACGCGCACACACACACACACACACACACACACACTCACGCACACAATTTACTTCTAACAAGAGCATAAGACAGACTGATTTGACCTAACCGTGAAAGTCAAGGGTGATGACAGAATGACATGTAAAGGGCGAGTCAGCATTAAGTGAGGAGAAAGGAACAATAACATGTAAAGGGCGAGTCAGCATTAAGTGAGGAGAAAGGAACAGCATGTTTTAGGCAGACGCATGTTCCAGAGCGTCCCAAGTCTTTCTGGTTTGACTGGCAGCCTCCTGATAGCTGCTGGGGTGGCAGTAATTTTGGCAGCCTCATTTGGCAGTGTCTGGCACAGAAACGCTTAATAACTGGGGACTGTTATTATCATCCTTAGTATTTAGCTTGGACAATACTATAGGATGTCGGTGTGTTGCGGAGATAGTACCTAGAAGATAATGGAATGCGCAGCCTGACTTCTGAGGTAGTCAAATCCTGAAGGAAATATGGTTTCATGGTTCAAAGTATATGGCATTGGTGTTCCTTCACCCCTGTTAGGTTCCTTTTGACAACTACCCCACCTTCCCACAGGGTCACATGCTACAAAGCTGCTTCTTTCAGATGCTTGGGAGAAAGTTAGCCTATTGTCACGAAACATGAGAACTCTCCCTCTCAGACCTTGCAGAACTTTTAAATGCCTAATGAAAAATGCCTATTAGAGTTAGAATAAACTGTCACTTTTAGCTGCACTTATAATATCCAGTTTAAGCAGAAGCTCCGTCTAAACCAGGAAGCCTAACAATGTTGCAACTTCCTCTACAAGAATCACTTTATTGTAACAAATAAGAATTTTTGATGGAAAAGTTAAAAATGTCAGCAAAGACATGCAGGAAGTGACTCCCTGCTCCTAATTCCCAAAATAATTTCTACGTTCTCTGAACACATTTTTCATGCCTCTCTTAGGACATTTTCTGATTTTTTTTTTTTTTAGCTTATATTGTAGTTATTTACGTCCATGTCTGATCTGCCCAATGTATGAAACTGTAAAATCATTGAGGGCAGGGACACCCCCTGACTCACCTTTGGATCTCTCAAAGTGCCTGCTGAGAATGGTCCCTTACAAAGGAGGCAGTCGGTCTGTATTTAATGAAGGAATTTACTGATTCTTGTCTAGTCCTGAATCATGAGGACTTTTGAAAGAACGTTTACATGGTGTTCCTACGCAACGAAATACTTCTGTTCATTTTCCAGATAGAAGTGCAGGAGAAAGGAAGTGAGTAGGAGTGCACAGGGTGGGGAAGGTCACATCTGCTTCAGGCAAGTGTTTTCTCCACCTCCCATCAGCCGGGGGAGTGGCAAAAGAGGGCACTGGAAGAGGGTAGGAGATGCAGCCTCCAACCACTCACAGACTGTGATTCTAGTTAAGATGCTGGAACACTCTCCCCCTGACTCATAAAAGGATTGATGAATGAAGAACCACAGTTCCATCTCATCACATTGTCTATCTAGTCACCATCGGGAGATTTAGGCTCTAATCCCATAGTGACTTAAGATCTTCATCTTAAAATGGCTTAAAGTTTATATAGAGCCAGCATGGTAACTCAACATCGTCTCACATGCTAGCCCTTCAGTAGCTGCTTCCTAAAGAGCTCTGTTTAGAAGGATTCTGAGTCCCTTTTTGGGCTCAGTGGAAAGATAGCGTTGACTTACTAGTGACACCGGCATAAGGCAGGGAGAGGAGTAGCAGCAAATAGGCCAAGATATGTCACTCTGACCTAGTCCAATACCCTCACTTCACAGGAAGAAAGCGAGAACAGAAGCTTATGTCTTAAGCTTACTATGTGCCAGGCACTGTTCAAATTGCCTTCACATGCACATACTTATGTAATCCTTGGCCAGTCTGAAGGAGTTAGCATTATTTTGATTCCTTTTTTCCTGATGAGGTTTAGGGAAGGAAATTTTGCCTGGCGTTCACACTCTGGAAGTCTTTAAGCACCTTCCTATACTGCCCCCTAATCTCTGGGCACTTGCTATGCGCCAGGCTAATGGTATTCAGCCAGGAGCGATTTTGCCCTCCAGGAGACATCTGGCAATGCCCGGAGACCTTTTGGCTGTGGGAAGAAGGTGTTCCTTGAATCTAATGGGTTGAGGCCAGAGACATGGCTATCTGCACAGAATAGTGCCCAGAACAAAATGTATCTTAGCCCAAACTGTCCATAGTGCTGAGACTGAGAACTCCGAGTTAGGCTATGTGAGCGCATTTTCAGGCTGATGCTAAAACTCCTCCTGTAGCTCGGTAAGTGCAATTACTGTCTCCATTTTGCCAGAGAAGGAAGAGTGCTCTCAGAGTCAGGAAGATCACAAGACAGGAACCCAGGGAGTCTGATTCTAGAGGCCTCTGAAGTCCTCCCTCCACAAAACTCTATTCTCATTGGCTTCCTTTACTATCAAAACATGTAAACTCTTTAAGCACATGCTTATACATGACGGATTTCAGAAGCTAAGATCATTCAGCCGACTATGAAAACTTTCCACCGTGGTGGGTGTCTCTTCAAAGTAAAAAAAGCATTTGTTCAACAGTTCAAAGAAGAGGCTCTTTAGCCGCTCTTTCTGTAGAACCATTGATCTTGCTGGAGTAGATTTGCAGATGGGTGCTTTAAAATAAAACTCTGAGGAGAAAACCAATTTTAGGACATTAACAAGCTTTTTTAAGAATAATTAGCTCTGCGTGGGATTCAACTGTAATTTTTTTCCTTTTGTGTGTAGGAGCTGGTGAGCCTGGAAACTTATTTGGGAGTAGAAGAGGAAATGGAGCTATGAAAAGACACTATGATTCCTCTTGTTCTAGGAGGTGAGGTACAATCTGAATATGAATAACTTTCTCATCCTGTCCAACTGAGTGCCTCAAATACAAATAGAATACATATAAAATTCTCTCTCTCTCTCTCCCAGTTAAGCACTTGGTTAGCTGGAAGAAATTGAAGAAGCTAAAAATCCAATGCTCATTTCAACAATAAAACCCTGTGCAAATAACTTCCTTTAGGACAGTGGTTCTCAACCTGGGGGTCGCGACCCCTTTGCGAGGGGGGGGGGTCGAACCACCCTTTCACAGGGGTCGCCGCCTAAGACCATCGGAAAACACATATATAATTACATATTGTTTTTGTGATTAATCACTATGCTTTAATTATGTTCAATTTGTAACAATGAAACTGTTGGTCACTCTATAATGAGGAACTGTATTAAAGGGTCGCGGCATTAGGAAGGTTGAGAACCACTGCTTTAAGATGTAAGGTTTATCTCCTGCACAGAAAAC